ACCACAAGATATAAAAGGTTCTGTTTGAGTTTGATTATTAATGGCTCACTGAAAATCAATGGAGAAAGCTGACACAACAGCAGGCTGAAAAATGTCTTTCACCTCGCCAGTAATGTTCGACACCTTTCATTTTCAACATCCCAAAACTATGTGGCTTGTGTCTTCTTGAATGGCCTTTGAGAAAGATGGCCGATACTTATCTAATAACTCAATGCAATGACACGACTTCAAAGTACAGTTACCATTTTGCTGGCATTGAAGAGCACACATTATCTGCTAGATCCCAAAACCTGTTCCAAGTTAGAGAAATGTGTTTAATGAACTCAAGGGCAGTGCTTCAAAGGAACCTGCAAGCGAACCTGTGTAGGGGCCAATGCCTTTGAACTGTGGAGAAGAAGTTTATCCAAGGTTGTCTTGATCGTTCAGCTTGCCTTGTAATCTGGCAGTCGACGCGCAAAGCTTCAAGTGTACCTCCAGGAAGACATGACAGGCTAGGGCATAAAAATGAGAAATTTTCCATCATTACAAAATCCGTCATTTTCGGCAGCTTTCCGAGCTTCCACTCCCAGAAGTCTGGATATGTTGTCTCCCCGTGTGCAATTAAAGCTTTTTAAAGAATTCTCACCTAAGGTTCATTAATTTAAATATTTAGCATATAAACAGTAAATTGGAGAAATCAGTTCTCTGTGTTAATCCAGACAGGACTCACTTCTCCAATCTTATAAACGTCAGGATTTTAGTTCGGGATAATTGCAAATGCATACTGTAAAGGTACTGTGTATTTCTGAGGTCAGTTCTGTTATTTCTTCCCTTTTCAGGTCCACAAAAAGATCTTTCTGTACTTTTTTTAAGACTTTATCTTTGCCATTTGTGTACTGACGTGGAACAAAAGCACATGTCAATTAACAGACGGATAAAAAAATAAAACGTTTTGCAATGTGAAAATCAGCGAGGCATTAATTACATTACCCTGACCTCAGAGGGATTTCTCTCAGTATTCGCCCGTGGCACTGGAGTGTAGAGCTGTTCCAGAGGATTTGATATCCTCAGAAGGTTAATGAAAGATTTATTACTTGCGTTGAAAGGTTTTTTTCTAAAGCCTTCCTCTTTATTGGACCGCAGATCTTCTAGAAATTTGTCACAATCATCTCTTTTTTTTCCCTTTGCTCTATTTAATTGCCTCTTGTTAATCACCAAACCTTCCCTGTTTCCTGCCTTGCACTGTACGTCACCACATGATTATAACTGTCCAGGGAGCAGGCTTGGACATGGTCACGGCTGTGTAAACAACAGTAAACATTTTGCTTTTGCTCTTTGTTCTGAATGCCTTGCACCACAGTGGCACCAGTTCCCTTCCTACTACGCAATTATTCATAGCTGGAATGAAGGAAAGACATGGCAGGATTAACCATGCAGGTCACTTGTAAATACAGGTTTCAACAGTGCAGTTGCTCAAATGTTCACTATTTTTATTTTCATTACAATCATGTGTGTATGAAACTGTACGATATTAATTCAAACTCTGTGCATTTTGTGATGAGTATTGAAGTGCTGTGGTGGAGCTGTGTAAGTAACAAGTGATTTATTGCTGTGTTGGAGGGCCAGCTCCTTAAAGACGATGCATGGAGCAGAGGTCATTGGAGGTTGTCAGAGTCAACACCTTACCGTATCGGCATTTTGCTGAAACAAGATTCATGCTTTCGGTCAGTTGTGGAAGCAATTATCTGATTTCATGATTAATGTTCATTGAAAGCTGATATGGCTTTGCATAGTCTTGTGCAGTTCAAGTCCGTGCTTATTAGGCTTTGCACCAGGAGAACCAAAAAATGAAACACAACTGACAGTGACTTTTGTAAAGTTTAAAGCATTCTGAAATGGCCAAACTAACATTAAAATTGTGGGAATTAAATTATGCATACAGCTGAGCTGAGCCCTATTGAATTTCAAAATATTATAAATATTATCAGGTTTTTATACAAATCAAATTACATTGCCTGAACACACTATGTTTTTGACAATGAATTATTGTGGGTCCTTCTAGTAATTGGCTTTCCTGGAAAAGATGTTTGATGATTGTTTAGTTTTGTACAACACAGGAGAACAGATGTGATGGATACACTCTTGTGGTGTACCTTATGTTTCCCACCTGTTTGTAATCTGCAAAAATTAAGGCACTTAAACCTCATTCACATGTTGCTGTTCAACTGAGAAGCCTCTGCAAGCTCTCATTGAGAATACGCAATACATCTTTATGTTGGGAAAATTAAATGTTTCAAATAGACACTACTGCTTTATTTCATTGACAAGGCATAATTTACTTAAAAAAATAAGACAGTGACACATATCAATTTTTGATGTTTTGCTTCCTAAACATTATACTGTATATCCTATTTGTATTTTTGAGTATATATAGTTTAATTGGTTATATTGATGTACAGTATATTAGATGCTGATACACCAATATTAAAGTGGTATTTCATAGTGGGTACGCCTGTAAAAATCAGCAAAATAATATGTTGACAGTTAAGAATCAAGTCATCAAGTTGCTATGTGCCATGTGTTTGAGTTTTCAATATCATCCCAAGGGCACTACAAAGTTTGTACATTTTTCAACCAAAAACAGATTCCCAGTACATGGGGCATTGTATGAGGCAAAGCTGTACATCCAACATTTATTAATCGGGAATGGTAAACAAATAGACCTTTAATAAAACTTGCCAGCCCCAAATTGAAATGAAGCCCCCCAGATAAGTACTGCCTTTCATTGCACTCAGGGTCCTGCAAGTCCTGAAACTAATTTGCCATCCTGTTTCACTGGCCCTCCATTCAAGGACTTCCTGTGGCAGACTAATGTGGTTCTGATTAAGCACATCCTATAAGACCCCTGAGGATTGCATACAACGGAAATAAGATTGAGATACGAATTAATTCCCATCCTTAAGTCAGATATCTGATATTGATGACCAGGGTGTAAGGAGAAAAGCTTTACTTTTTTTGTTAAAACTGTCTACTTGCCTCTGGATTTGAGAAATGGGGAATAAAAAATGAAAATGATTTAGTAAGCCGGTATGTGTGTGTGTGTGTTGGTTTTTTAGTCTCAGTGTTTTACAAAGCTTTCAGAAATTGGGAGAATTCAGTTTGGCTGTCTGGAGTCACACACTGTGCAATTCTCTCATTTTTTTGTACTGTTGTCCTGTGTCAAATCTCTGCTACAGCCAAGAAGTTTGCATTTTTCATAGTTCCCCTCTAGGTCTACTTCAAGAAGTGCCTTCCGAATTCACAGCAGCATGCAGTATACACTTTTTAACCTAAGCTTTTCACTAAGTGTGGGTCGTTGCAGTTTAATTCGTGTTTTTTATTGATTTATTATTATTTATTGATATGGGTACTTTTGGTCATGGCTGGCTTTCATGTCTGTACATGAAGATTTGACTCAAGCCAATAAAGAAATATAGTTCTTGCAGAAATAACTGACACTACGCAGCAGGGTTGATGCCCCGGGTTGCGGAGTAACACTCTGCTTCCTTGACTCCTACAAAGTTGTAAAGGACCATTTTGAAAACATTCAGCAGTCCAAGTGACGGAATAATTTTTCACTCTCTTGGGTTTTCTTTACCTTAGTGCATGAGAAATGGATGAAGGTCTTTTTTGATATTGCCGGAAGTGTGCCCTTCATGGTCTACTTTAAAATGGGAAATTGCAGGTAAATGGGCTCACCTCGCGCCCCAGACCCATTGCAAACATTTGAAAATGACGATTGGCTCATTGAAGGTCACTCCTTATATTCAGTGGTTTCCCAAGCGTATGTACTGTAGGCTTTATGTGACCTTTCATGCAAAAATTGTGGAAAATGTTTATTTTATGTCTATTCATTACGCATATATTTTTTTTTCAAAAGCCTGCTTTAGTACTGGATCCGTTCCATCCTTAGTAAATAGCGAAAATTAAGGCTGACCTTTTTTTTTTGTGGTGGTGGAAATGTGGGGTGGGGGGGGGCCTCCATTTTAACTTAAAGAAATCAATTTAAAGGCTGATTATTGCATTCTAAGTTCTCCCATTTTCAAGGGTCGGCTGTTGGTATAATTGACGTGCCTCCCCATACCACTGACATTCTCACAACCCAAATTACTTAATTGGTGTTAATTACATAATGACAGTGTTGAAATGTGAAGGGCCAAAGGTTACTATTACATTTGGAAGTCATGGCAGGAGAATTCTCTTCAGTGTTTCTTTAAGTTTCTGTAATAAGCCCTCGATACATTCCTTTAGTGATCCATCCTTGACCTTGGCCATCCAATGATTATAGTAAGTAACAGAGTGCAGTTCTGCTTCAGAGTCATAGCAAGGCCATTGTGGTGAGTCTGATTACACTTGTACAGAAGAATCCGATTTCATTCACTTTGCTTGAGTTAATCATAACTGAGCTTCCACAGCATTTGAACAGGTTGGATAAGACCAAAATTACATTCATTTAAATTATTATCATTAGTGTTTATTAAGGCAGAAGGATATTTTTAGTGGAGAACTAATTGAGCTAAGATTAGAGACCACAACCCTGGAATACAGAAAAGATTGGTTACAAAGGAAAGGAGACCATTCATTATTGTAAGAAACCAGTGCCATGTGTGCACTATTTATAATTGTCTCCTGACAATCTCATGTTTTTGTCTTTTGTCTTTAGCGTCTCTATCGCATTCCCAAACTTTCTGTTAATGCCAAAATTCTGTGGGTGACATTGTGGGTATTTCAGAAATAAAGATGAATGCACTTTGTTTAGGGTTTATTTAGGCTATATATTGTATATTAAAGAGAAACAGTATGTAACATGCAGTTTTAAAAGTCTCTATTATTTCTATGTTAACATTTGGAAAAAAATGCACCTGCAGTGTGGAAATCCTCAAGATGCTTTGTACACAAGGAGTTGAGTGGGGATATTTGTAACTTTCCAGTTATCTGTTGCAGTTCCTTTAAAAAAAACTGGTTTGTGTTTCATTTGGCAGATGATCCAGTCACTGTTGGAAAAACACAACCATGGCATGAAGCTGAAACTATACATTGATCACTTGACCAGACTTTGCATAGAACGGGATCCCCACTTCCTGGAAGGGTCTCCATCTTTACCAGCCGCTGAGGAAGAGGATGATGAGTGCTTGAAGGAGGAACGGGCAAGGAGCTTGACAGTCGAGCAGGTGCAGTACGACATTGTACGAAAGACTCGGTGTCTTTTCGTCTCTTGTTTTTTTACCAGCACTCATAAGGAATGTTGGAGTCCTCTGGATCCATCATTTTTAAACCATCTCAGCAGTTTCTCCCAGTTTCTACAACACCATGAATTTGCAGGGTAACCCCAGCTCAAAATTGTGGCTCCGGGCTCTGTACAGTAGAAGAACAAATGTCTTCACTAAATACATGAGCAAACATAAAAGCCACAGTAAAATGGGCTAGCCATAGTCACTGGGCAGTGCATTGATGAAGAAAGGAGGGCAGTGTCAGCTCATTGAGTTCCACGGCTTATCGGTTTGGAAAGATGAAACAGGGCAATGCACGACTTTGAAATTCATTGACAGTATTTAAAAATCTGTTCTGTAAGATACGGAAAGCCAGTGAGGATTGTACAAAACAAAGGTTATGCGCTGTCAAAACCTCGTTCCAGCAAGACCTCCTACTGTAGCAGCTGCAATGAGCCATCTGGAGTGAGGTTACCTTTAGTAGTTTAGTAGTTGTGTAATAGGGGTGCGTGCTTGGGAATCTTTGCATCAATGCTTCTTTGTCTGTAGGATTTGTTTTTAGGATTTGTCAGCGAGTCTATAAACATGAAGACCCACGAAGAGGACTCAGTTATAGCTACCGGTTGCCATTACTTTGTTTTTATTTATTGTTGGGGTTTTTTTTTTGCTATAGAGTTGACATGAATGCTTACACTGTTTTTATTTGAACCCTGACCTTTGACCCCTGGCATCTGACCCACCTCCCCAGGAGTTTTTGCTTTCTTCCACAGGCCTCCATGTACTCTTTTACAGTTTGTGTGCTTTCAGCCAGCTGCTTTCAGGCTACAACACTGTAAAGCTCCATTAATCATAAGATAACAAGGTGGGATGTGGAAGATGAGTGTAGGGTTTATCCTCATAGGAGACCGCAACACGGTCATGAAATGGAAGTGACAGTGTTAATCCTCTGATTGCCACGCTTCAGTATACTCTGTCGGACAGTCCACATTTCTCTGTGGCATATCTGCTGCACTGTTGTCTTGGTATGTTAACAGTGAATTTGTCCTGCATGGAATTTCTTTTTTCTTCTTGGTTTATGGCTACATAGGGATACACTCTTTGCAGTGGTTCCACAGTGATGAAAACTCTCTGCGCAGACTTCAAGTAGAAGATGAGCCTTGGTGTCTGTAAAGCTGAACAGAAAATGAATCAAAGCCTTCTTCCTAAGCGTTTTCAAATAACTAGATCAATGCAACATTATAATACTGTATCCCTTGTGAAGAATTTTCTTCTGGCGAATATACCTATTTTTAAAAACATTTTATTTTTTATTGAAGCAGTTCTCAAAGAGTTTATGATGCATAGTCCTTGGCCAGTTAACTCACCCTGCTGTGAAGTGTGGGTGAAAATGACATTTTTAGAAGCACATTCTTACTTGGTATTCTTTCTGCTGACTCGATGTGAAACTAGTGAAAATGCATTGTTATTATTTTTTTAAGTGCATCGCATGCAGGTGCCGAGAGCTATATAGAAAGTGATGCTCATTACAGAATAAAGGGGGGTGTATTTTCTTTGATTTTGATTATATTTCATTTGCAGAAGCTAAGTGATCTGAAGAAATGCTCCTTTGGTTGAAAGCGCATGCAGTTAAAACTATTGAACCCCTCATTACGGACCTTTTAATCTGGTCACATGAGAACCAGTGTGTTGCAGCAGCCACTGCTGAAACATAAAACTATGGGAACAGCTGAATAAATCGAAACACAGTTTGTACATTCTACCCTTTGTGTCAAAATCTGATAATATAAAAGAATAACCAATACCAACCCCCAGGCCCTATGTTTTCATTACACTGCCAAGAATCTATATACAAAACCACACTGTATTTAGATTAATCATTTAAGACTCCATAGGCATTACACAAAGGCCGATTTGCTATTGGTCTGCAGTTGACAAAACACAGATGGAGTGTGTGGCTGGCGGAATTGCAGTTTTCAAGTGCACCGTTTATAATTTCACTGCTACCAGCTCTTCTGAAAGGTATTGAATCGATAGAGGGAGAGAGGGATTTGATCAAAACAACACAGAGAGACGCAGCTGATCGGTTTTAGATCATCTCTGTCTGGATGTGTTATATCATTGAGCTTTTATCATGTCTTGCTTTCACAAAATTTTATTGTAGGTGGCTGGTTGCTGGCAGCAGTATGTACTAAATTAGCCGTGAATTTATTAGAAGCCTGGCAAGGAAAACATTCCTCACCTGTTCCCACCAAAACTGGAAGGGATTGTGAAACTGGGCACTGAAATACACATGTAAATAGTTAACATTCAGCCCCTTCAAAGGAATAAGCACGCCTATTGTAAATCCAGCTCGAGCACAAGAGAGTAATCACAAATGTCAATAAGAAAAAATCCATGAAATATTTTACACACATACAGTATATTGTATGACAATTATATATTGTGAGACATCCTTCTGTGGGGTTTTAAGGTATGCATGGAGACTTGGGGATCCTCATCTGACTCTCTGGACATTGGCTACTAAATTTACACTTGAGTTAAGATAGCTGAAAGAAAAACACCAGCCCCGGAGTTGTCAGAATCCTAGGTGATCAAGACCACAAGATCAAGCACTCCAATAAAAGCTTTCAGGAAGTAATGGTGTTGCTTATATACTGTAGGAACTTCCTACTAGACAAGGATAGGCCACGTGGCAAATCAAGTCTGCATGATAGGCTTATGTACACAGATCTAAATGAGTCAAGGAATCAGAAGAACAGAACAGGACAAAGTTAAAGCATTCCTCATCTTTCAGAATGGGGCATTCTGTTTATTACTTCGGATTACACAGTGCAGGACTATTAGAATATGTATGACCTTTAGATCAGTGATATACAGTAAGAGGCTTTACTGAAATACAGCAAGGGGGGATGAATACCCAGAGCACAGAAGAAGCAACTCTCAGGCTTTTAAAAAACACAGCAAATTAATTCTGCAGCTGTATGCTCATAAATATCTTTCAAGATGTGTATGAATATGTCTATACATATCTAAAGCTCTCATTCCCCAGCACACCAAAACCTACCTTTTCAGCCTTAATATGAAAAAAGATTTACATTATGGTAAAAAGTGAAGGAAATCAGTGTGTTGAATAGTTTGGGATAGTCAGTTTCTGACAGTTCGTAAAAAAAAAATCAAATTGTTTTTTTTCTGTTTTGGATTAGTAGTCCAATTATAAAGAGCCTTTACAGATTTGCAAGGGCAGGAATGTTCATGAAAAAAGTGTGAAATGCTATGTTTTTACTGTCGCTTATTGGTGGTCCCCAGTATATTTGAAATAAGAAAAGTGAGGCTGATACCTCCAGTTTTTCACCCCCTGAGTTTGCTCCAACTCAACTTTCTTCCTCAGATTGCTGTAGTGGAGCCGTTAAATGCTCTGTTCCAAGACGAGGTAGAGTGTGGATGTTCCAGTTGATGCTGTTGATGATATTATCTGGAGGACACTTTCGATATGCACGTTCCAAGATTCCGAACCTCTCTTGTTTCACCCAAGCCAACAACAGTGTTTAACCTGATATTCACAGTCTTCACTGGATAAAAGACAAAAACACAAATGAATGTCTGCAATTTTATAATTGCGTGGTTAGCCAATTAGCTGGCTCAGCCTTCCTATGAAACTTTTAATAAAATCCAAAAATGGGACTGTTTACAACAATCATTGCTAAAATACCTTCTTTTTGAATATTGTTAATATGACAGTTTGACAGAGCTTTGATGCTTTATTTGAAGAAAAAAAAAACAGTATTACCCAGTGATGGAGCTCCTAATTTTGTTTTCCCGTAATATTCTCACAGCTCTTAAAGAGCTGCCAAGACTGAATAGGGACTATCCATCCTACAGGCTTGAAATGTTGTTCTTGAGATTAAGATAAATTCAGAGGATTTATGCAGTGAAGCGATTGGCAAGCTTTCCCATCTTCCATGATGCAGTGCTTGTTTAGTATAAAATCCAACCAAGCCCTGAGACCTTTCAAGTTTTTGATTCATGGAAATACACTGGATCTGTGCTAACAAATATGTTTCTGAGCCTTGATGGAGATCAGTGTTTTTTAATTAAGCATGTGAAACCTTATCCCATTCAAAGAGACCTAGAGAAGACTGAGCTTGATTTACTGTGGTCAGCCGAACTATGATAAACATCCCATGTTGTTTGAAATCTGGAAAAGAGAGAAGAGGAGGAAGTTATTAATTGGCTAATGGACTGGAATGTTTTCTATTTGTAAAGAAACACTGTCCGGGCTGACACAGAAAATCAGAAGCAGGACTTTTTTTCCTCCATCCTGTTGATGCCAAGTGAAGTAGTTCACCCAGCCTAGCTGTTCGTATACAATTTCTTTTCTGTAGACCAGGGAATATGCTGGGTCTAAGTATTGGTTTCCTTCAGAAGAAAATTGTATTTTATGACCTGTTAATTATGGTTACTAAACGTGCCCCCGAGAATTCGTTTTAAGAAGTCTGTGCTTTTTTTACTGTAATAATTGTACATAAAATATTTTTGTTTATACAAGTGACCAGTGGTGCATGCTTTAGGTTTCCTCATCAATGCTTCTGTTTTTCACATATTTATACTATTAAGACATTAATAACCATAATAGCAAAACCATCATTAGCTTGTATGCATAATATTCCAACTCTAACCCCTAAAAGCTTAAGTTAAACATTTGCACATGACCTTTGGTTACACAGAATTCTTCATCACATAAGCTTGCATTATGCTCAGGCCAAAAATATGATTTGATTGAAGCTCATAGACCATAGAATGGCTTTAATTTTGCTTGTTTCCTACACGATGCTTGCTTATTTGGAACAAGTAAACAAGGCAGTAGAACCCACTTTCTAAGAAATATTTGGAAAGACAGCCACACGGTAAATTATGGCTAAAAACTCTTAAGCTCCTGTCTGTCACTTTTACTTAATGGTTAATATGGGGTCTTACAC